GCTTTTTTATGAATATTGTTACGAAAATTAAAATAAGTACAAAAAAAATCTTTAAAAAATGGAAAAAATTCACGAAAAAATCGGAAATCAAAATAAAAACTATTATAAAATAGTTCGGAATATATTTAAATAAATATAAATACCAATATTTATGCTGTTAAGCCATGAAAAAAATAAAAAAAATATTAAAAGAAAGCATATATAGTTTATTCAATATACATTCACAATGTTGCCACATTTATAATTTCTGGAACAAAAATGTAAAAAATATATATAGGTATTTGAAATAATAATATATAATTTAAAATAATTCTCATGTTCTCAACATTCTTTAATGACTCAATCAACCAGACTAAATCTAACCCAACGATATCGAAACTAGTTAAACAAGTTAATAACTACTGGAAATTGAAGTGATCTAGTATCTTCCCATCTGTAATGAAGCTAAGAAAAAAATATATGTCTGGTATAAATGAAGGATTATGGCAAAAACACAAGGTAATGAAAGAAAAAAAGCAAACTCAGATTTCTTACTAGAGAAAACCTGGCGAAAAGGAAAGACACATAAGGCAGGAAATTGTAGATAAAGGCAAGGAATTAAGAGCTGAAAGTAAAAAAACGTGAAGATGGGGTACAAAAACCTAACTGTGAATGGCATAAAATGGGAATGGGCCGGAAATGGTACTTTTAAACGAGGAAAATTCTAGAAATATGAACCCAAAAACGGCATAGAGAGAGCAGTGGAAAAGAAAAGACGGCCAATTATGCCGACGGACCCTAGCGATGAACAGGAAAATGAATTATTTGAACATAAATAGCGAAACAAAAAATAAGAGTACGTACCTAAATAGTGCCACATCGAATGTACGAGAAGTATACGAGGAGGGAGCATTAATTAGCCTAATAGAAGAACTTAAGAAATATAAAATACCAAAGCCAAATGAAGGCGATATTAGTAATTTTGGAGTGGGTTTTCTGATACATGAAAATGTTGAGCAGGTAAAACGATTTGTAATAAAATCTGACAGAATGTGTGCAATTAGAATTAAAGGAAAAGAGAACATAATATCGCTCCAACAGAGAAAAGGAAAAGAAGTGAAAAATGAATTTAATGAAGAATTAGAGTAATTATCTGATGAAATGCCCAGACAAAATATTAAAATTATTATTTTTCTTGCCTGGTAAATAAGCTATTTCACTTACTCTGATACTGAAGATGAGAGCGGGGTGATACGAATCTTCAGCCACTAATGGACAGTCAGACCTTACCACAGTACAAACATCACAGTATATTCATCATCATTCAGCCCATACTCGTCCACTGCTGAACATAGGCCTCCCGTAGTTCACCCCACAAATTTCTGTCCTGAGCCGCCTGCATCCAATTTTGATGTGTCCGTTTCAGGTCATCCGTCCATCTTGTTGGTGGTCGTCCTCTATTCCTAAAGGCATCTTGTCTGGGTCTCCACTCAAGAATGCGTTTTGTCCATCTGCCGTCCTTCGTTCTCGCGACGTGCCCTGCCCAGTTCCATTTTAAGGTTGATATTCTTTTGATTGCGTCGGTTACTCCCGATCTACGGCGCAATTCTGTGTTGGGTATTCGGTCTCTCAGGGTTAGTCCCAACATGGACCGTTCCATTGCCCTCTGTGTTGTTCGAATTTTGTTTGCGGACGTCTTAGTAAGTGTTAGCGTCTCCGCACCATAGGTTAGAACCGGCAGCACACATTGATCGAAGACTTTTCTCTTCAAGCAGATGGGAAGAGCTGATTGGAAAACATCTCTTAGCTTTCCATAAGCTGCCCATGTCAACCCTATTCTACGTATTAGTTCATTGGTCTGGTTATCTCTACTTAAGCGAATTTCGTGTCCCAGATATTTGTATGCTGATGTTTGTTCTATACTTGTTCCAGCTATGTTGATGTTCTCACTCAGAACAAGGTTTGTCATCACTTGTGTTTTTGAGTTATTGATCTTTAAACCCACTTGTGTAGAGGCATGGTAGAGTCTTTCGCACATTTCGATGGCATGATCTATGCGGTCTGTTATCAGGACTATATCGTCCGCGAACCTGAGGTGACTAAGCTGCTCTCCATTTATGTTTATGCCCTTTTCGTCTAGGTTTGCACGCTTACACATGTATTCCAATAATGTTGTAAACAGTTTTGGTGAAATGGTGTCGCCCTGGCGAACTCCACGATGAATGTTGAACTTGTGTGTATCTTCATGGAGTCTGACGCATGCCGTGGCATTATCATAGATATTTTTGATGACAGTGGTGTAGCGGTGATCTATTCGGCACTCTTTTAAAGCTTCTAGCATTTTCTGGTGGTTTACTGTGTCGAATGCTTTCTCATAATCCACAAATATTAGGACGAGGGGTTTATTGTACTCTATACATTTTTCGATGAGGCTTTTAATAACTTGTAGATGGTCGTTTGTGCCGAAGCCTGACCTGAATCCTGCCTGTTCGCATGATTGGTAAAAGTCCATTTTGTTCGAAAGTCTGTGTTTGTTATGACTTTTGTAAAAAGCTTGTATATGTGTGAGATGAGGCTGATTGGTCTATAGTTTACGAGATTTGTTAAATCTCCTTTCTTAAACATTAGAATGATCACTGCATTTTGCCATTGTGATGGTGTTGTTCCTCTTTCAAGGCATTCTGTGAAAAGTATGGAAAGCATTTGTATCAGTTTCTCGCCTCCTAATTTTATGGCTTCGGCAACGACCCCGTCGTCGCCAGGTGACTTATTATTTTTCATTTGTAGGAGAGCTTTTTTGATTTCATCAACAGTAACATCTGGTATGTCTTCCGAGCCCTGGTTTAGAACCTTTGGTATGTTGTCAGTTGGAACATTTTCTTCTGTTTTGCTGTAGAGTTCGCTGTAAAATTGTCCGACAGTTTGTAGAATTTCCTGTTTATCTGTTATTATTTCGCCCTTTGTGTTTTTCAGTTTGTAAATATTTTTCTTTCCTATTTGCTGTTTCCTTCTGAAGACTTTTAAACTTTTGTTCTCTTCTATGACTTTTGATATCTCTCTGGTGTTGTAGTCTCTTATATCTTTTCTGATGTTCTTAGTGATTTGTTTGTTTAGTTGTCTCATTTTTGTTAGATTGGTTCTGTATTTATCTGTTAGTTGTCTTCTTTCCTCTAATAGAGTTTTCGTGCTTAGACTTAGTTTTTCTTCGTCTTTTTGGTTTTTTGGGCAACATTTTTCTTGTGCTTGTTTCAGAGCTTTGACTATTTTCTGGTTTAGTTGTTCGATGTTTATGTTTTCTGTTTCTTCGTTTTGTAATTTTTCTTCGACCGTACGTTCAAACAGTTTTGCATTTTCAGGTGGTACCCATCTTCTAACATTTGGTTTAGGAACAAGCTTCATTCTTTCTTTTTTAACGTTAAGCATTACCTGCTTTTGTTCTTATCATCCTATGGTCGCTGCCAGCAGAGAACTTGTTGAGTACTTCCACGTCTTGTATTATATATTTTTTATCTGTAATTATAAAGTCGATTTCGTTTTTGACGGCGCCATCAGGGCTTATCCAAGTCCATTTGTTTTGGGGTTTATTTTTAAAGAAAGAGTTCATTTGAAACATGCATTGATGATGTAGAAAGTTTAAAAGCATGTCCCCTCTTGCGTTTCTTGCCCCGTATCCGTACTTTCCTAACGCGATCTCCGCTTGGTCTTGTTTGAATCCGAGTTTTGCGTTGAAGTCGCCCATGAGAACAGTATAGTGTGTTCGTGTTCTTTGTTGTGCCTCTGCTACATCCTCATAGAATTTTTCAACTTCTTCATCTGTGTGTCCAGTTGTCGGGGCGTAGACCTGTATCACTTACAGTATAGTATACACAGTATACAGTATAGTATACACAGTATATTAGTCAGAGCAAAATCTAAAAATCTATTCATACAATTAGGAATATTATTTATTTGTTGCAAGTTATTAATATTAAGAAACTGCTGCATCAGCACATTTTTATTACAATCCAAAAAGCTGTTATCATTAAAATGGGGTTACATTGAAATCTCCTAGTAACATCACATTTGAGTTTTTTGATAATAAAATATTCTCAAACAAATTAAAATAATTTTCATACATCACAACTCAGCTTTAAGTATAAAATACACAACGGAAACATAAAGGATAAAGTTTTTTACCTAAAAACTAAAGTGTAAAGTGTACCTATTGTCGAAAAGTTCAGAATCAAAACTAAATTATATTGTATTAGTGGCTGTGGTTATTCCTTTCTTCAAAGAAAAGAAAATCCACTATCAGATATCGGATGATAGTTGGCTTTTTCGATAGCTGAAGTAAAATGTGAAACAAAACCAAAACATCTCACAAAAATGAATAGAAACATAGTTTATTGGTAATAATAATACAAAAGTAGGTACTTGTATATAAAACATAAACCTAAGTGTAATAAAAAAGATAACAGATATAAAAATCACAACAGATTGGAAAGAAAAATTCTTCTCAAATGAAAAAATGCATTCACTATAAGATATCTCTTAATTTTTGCTTTGAATTGATAAAACTTAAGAGCTTTTACTCTAGCTGCAACTATTTTATAAAACTTAACGGCTAAATACCTTGAACCATTTCTGGATTCCTCAAGGCGATCAAATTCTGGACTTTCTTGTAGAAGATTATTGTTGTTCTACATGTACATTGTATTGGCAAAATTTTATGTAATGTGCAAAAGACAGGAGGGTATCACAAGAAATTAAATATGTGATATTGATATGGATAGTGTATGGTGAGCAAAAATAGAAGACAAAATTATAAGGAACATAGGAGGCAATCCTATTATAATTTTGAAAAATTTAATTATAACTTATAGGTTTAAAGTCTTATTTTAATACTAAAAACCATAGAAAACATATTTCAGAAATTCTTACTCAAGTGGTTGAGTTACCGTGAGGTAAAGACAGATGAATTTCGCTGACATGACATCATTGATGAGGAGTGGTTCTTTTCTTAGTGACAACTGACAGTTTGACACACCTATGCAGTTATGATTCATTTTTGAGATAAACAATAGGGTGAATTTATTTTTCTTTTAGTCAGAATTTAGTAATAAACTAACCTCGTTTAGTAGTGACTCGCTCTATCGAATTACGTTTTATTTTGTATATAGCTAAGGCTCAATTAAAAATGATGACTGACCGTTTCGGTTTAAAATGGGACCCGAAAAACTTAGAGATAAGAACCATGTCTGTGGAAAAGACATTGGAACCCCTAGTGCTTCAAGTTACCACCCTCGTCAATACAAAGGGGCCTAGTAAAAAGAAGAAAGGAAAGTCTAAACGTGCCAATGCTCTGGTTAGTACTGTGGAAAAAGCTACCGAAAACTTCATAGAAAAGGGGGAGCAGATAGCCTATGAGAACCCAGATATTACTGAGGAAATGTTAGCAGCTGTTGACGAAGTCAAGAAAACTGGTGAGTTTGTAAATATAATAATAGTTTTTATTTAATTCTACCAGAACAGGTGTCACAAGGTGGGCCCCTTTAGGATTTACATAAATGTAATAACTCGCAATATTACGAACTACTTCAGTACTATCAATAGTATGTTAGTATTTATAAAAAATGGTAAACTTTTCTGACTCATCATGAACTAGTTTTGTGAGTCATCATGTATTTAGTACTAATTGCTCAGAAACCTTAAAAATAATAATGTTTCTTATTATTATTAAAATGGGATGTATTTGAAATGTCTTCTTAATTACTAGCTTGACAACTCTTTATTTATGGGTCGTCACTTGCTATTATTTTTTGTCTTTCTGATATGTTCTTTGCTTCATTTTTCCATTTAATAACCTTGAGAGTTTTTAGATTTTGTATAATATATTTATATTGAAATATAAATTTATAAAGATTGTAACATTATTTTATTTTAGGACATGCTATGAGTGGGGCTGCAAGAGAATTTTCAGAAGACCCATGCTCTTCTTTAAAAAGAGGAAATATGGTTAGGGCTGCTAGAAATCTTTTATCTGCTGTAACTCGTCTTCTAATTCTAGCGGACATGGTTGATGTCCATCTTTTGCTCAAATCCTTACATGTAGTTGAGGATGACCTTGAAAAACTAAAAAATGCTTCAAGTAATGGCGAACTTTTAGACAATATTAAAGCCTTTGGTCAAAATGCCAACGAATTAATGAATCAGGCTGCTAAACGGCAGCAAGAACTGAAAGATCCACAACTTCGTGATGATTTAGCAGCTGCTAGAGCTGTACTTAAGAAACATTCCACTATGTTATTAACTGCATCTAAGGTTTATGTACGTCATCCAGAATTAGCAGCTGCCAAAGCAAATAGAGATTATGTTTTAAAACAAGTCTGTGAAGCTGTGAATACTATTAATGATGTAGCTCAGGGAAGAACTCCTCAACCTGCTTCTGGACCATATGATGGGCCTGGAGAGTTGGCTGCTGCTTTGGATGATTTTGATGTAAGTATAAAAGAAATTAGTTTCTTAATATCCACATTTGTTCAGACCAATAGAAACTACACACTGATATGTACATGTTTCTCTTTAATAGAACTTTTAATTTTTTAGGATCACATGGTAATGGAGCCTCTAGCATACAATGAAGTTCACACCAGACCTTCATTGGAAGAACGTCTAGAAAGCATTATAAGTGGTGCAGCCCTTATGGCAGATTCCAGTTGTACTAGGGATGAAAGAAGGGAAAGGATAGTTGCAGAGTGTAATGCTGTAAGACAAGCTCTGCAAGACTTGTTGACTGAATATATGACAAATGTAAGTGTTACCTTTTACTTGTACTTCTATTCCTCAAAAGTTTGGTAGATTTTATTAACCAGTTTATCTCCTTTTATTAATATCTCTTAGGTATACCAAATTTAAGGTTAGGTCTGCGTCATATTGATTTTATGATATTTACAGTTTAGATTTGTTAAATTGGCATTAATGTTTTATTGAATTACTACTTTACTGGTTTACATATTTTTTCACAAGCATCTGAATATAGAAATTAATTCGAGTACGAGTTATTTGCCTTAATAACTTCCAATCTTTGATATACTTAGGTTTGTGTTTATAAAAATAGAAAATAAATAAAAAAACATAATGTAAATCCTATTTTCAAAAAGTCAAATTAAAAAAATATATATAAATACAATCAAATTTTGGATTGTTCTATGATAGAAATGATCATTTTGTGCTTGTGGAAAAGTAAGTATTGATTTATATTGATAATAGCATCTTATACTAAGTAAAATTTCATGTGTATTTTTAATCTACATCTTAATTAAGTATACAGGTGAAATATACATACATAGTAAGGGTGTGCTGCTTCTAATAATTTAAGGAAGTGTTCCATTTGTTGTTTTTTTAACCAAAATCTGCTTTTTTATGTTAGATTTTTAATTTTTTTTAACCCATTAAGCGTCTGATTTTTTTTTCAAAATTGTTTACACTTTGACCATCAAAACAGAGTAAAAATCTTCAAGTAATTGTAATTTTGTTTGGTTATCCATAGAGATACACAAGATAATGTTAATGGTAGTCAAATGACCTATACTACGTTCCACGTTTAGAAAATAACATTGCGGAGATAGGGCCATGTATTTCTTATGGACAATAGCAACGCGGCGTTGCCACGACACACACAAGCACAATTTAGGGTTGTATAATTTGTATTTTCGTTTCCACAAACATGAATTAAATTAATGTTTTTAACGTAATTGACCAAAAGTGTCCATTCGAAACAAGAGATGAAAAGTAGGGAAAATGATTTTAATTAGATAAATAGTATTTACAAAAGATAATTTTATTTTATCTTATTTTAATTAAGTATAGTAACGACAGTTTATTTGTTTTTCGGTGAGAATATGATATGCCATGAATCATAGAAATCAGTAGAAAATATTGACCGCTTGGGCTTGGAATGCGTATATCTAATTACTAATTGCAACTTAAAATAATATGATGTGCGTATGTCAGCTATTTTATGTTGTTCTCTGACTACATAATGATAATAAGGCTTTTATTTAGTAGTTATTCTGACTTTACAGTTAAATGTTAATTGAAAATGAAAATTCAAAAATTAAGCAAAGGGAATATCTTGGACATCCGTGCAAAAGAGAGTGTCTGAGAGTTTTGGCAACACTGATCTCCATAAGCGTAATGTTATTTTCTTAACTTGAAACGAAGTATAGTATTAAATATAATTAAAATAAATTCATGTTAATTATATTATTAAATTAAAGTTTATTGGGATTATTATATTTATCTATTTATTTATTAATGGGAGAACCCCTTGTTACAATTCAATTTTAAATAAAAATATAAGGAATCCTAAACTATTTATGGCAAACACTGATCACAACAATAAACAGTAATGACTTAAAATAAATATAATAAAAATGAGTACATTTAAAACAAAATATCCATATTGGTATGGTTTTGTTCATAAACATGTTTAAGGACATATCCACTACACCTACCACTATCAAATGCCTATCAATCTGTAAGAAAAGTATTGAACAGATTGTGTTATATCTATACTACTATCATCTTAGACTAGACACAATAATCAAAACATCCTTTAATAAATTCCACTAGAACTAAGTTCCTTACTGCTGTATACCATATATCACAAACATTATTTAAATCCTTTATAAAGGTACTATAAAATGCCAACGGCTATCACAAGTATTGAAAACGTTTCGGTTATTACATCTATTCTCAATCACTGCTCAGCCACTACAATTACATCTGGCATATTCAACTTAACTACCAATTCTGCCAGTTCTACAATTTTATTCCTTATTTATTAAGCATTTAAGTAAAGTATACATAAGTCAGTACTATTACTATATTGAACTTTATTTAACTTAAATTGAATTTGTAGTTTACATTCATTAGCCATTTTTAATTTAAAAACTTTACACCATAATTGCCACTGACCTATATTAGTTTCATTATTATGGATAGAAATCGCTCCTAATCCTCAGATTTTGTCCAACAAGACTTGCATTTTTTCCTTTCTTAATTAATAAGCAATATGGAATAAGCTTCTGTTTAAAAAAATTAGTTGCTCATTTATGTATATGTTTGAAACATTACTTTTGTCTTTAATACAACTTTTCATATGTGAGGCTATCTTATGATTTTTCCTTGCTTTAATAACTCTTGTTTTAATACCTCGAGACCACATTTTGCCACAATTACTGATCCATTTTTAGTTTCCTAGTTGTAACAGTCTGACACATCCTGACAAGTCAAATTACATGATAAAAGACCATTAAAAATTTCCATTATTCCTTTTTAGGATCTTCACTTTTAATTTGGGTTCTGTCTCCAGATTACAGGAATATTCTTTAATTTCTAATTTGCACAATCTTTCCTCTAGCTGCATGACCCTAGTTTTTAATTGGATGTTTTCTTTTTTCATATCTCACAGTTCTTGTAGTGTACTTTAGTTTTCCAACATGAGAGAATCAAATTTACCACTTAGAAAGTCATAGATTCTTCAATCTTCTGAAAAAATTTTTGAAACTCAATGATTTCATTTTATGATATTTGATAGAACGCATTTAGAATATTATATTTGTTATTTCTTAAAATATGGCTTAAGTATGAAACCTTTGCCGCTTAACGAGATCTAACAGTTCTCTTTGGACATTCCTTCTTCTTAGGACTTGATTATTTGTTACATAGTCCCAACAAGAAATGCTAAGCAGCCTTCTGAAACAGCGAACATTTCGAATGTCTCCACATGATTCAGAGATCTCACTTTAAGTGACCAAGTCTCACTTCCGTGCATCAGGATGGGCCATATATAAAATTTCAAGACTTGGATTCCAGGTCAAATTTAAAAAAAGCATTGTACTCATTGCTACTCTTTCTTATCTTCACTTCATGGATGTTACCTTCCCACTTATATAGCTCCAACGCATTTAAATGTTTTAACCCGTTCAATAGCACTATTATTTATATTCAAATGAGCTTCCATATGGGGTTTTCTGCTGATTATCATATATTTGGTTTTTGCTATGTTGATATTAAGCTCATACTTCTTACCATCCATTTATGATATTCCCTGTATTATGACTATTTCCTATAGTTTATAAGATCCTGAGAAAACCATCTATGAAATATCCTACTAGTTAACTTAAGTGGGACAATGTGGTGTAACATATTCATTCAGGATGGAGCAACAATAAGTATCTTCCTTCATCCAGACAGGCTAAATTAAAACCACCTGCATTCCACATGGCAGCCTCAGAGTACATATCATAAATGATATGTATGCTTTCATCCGTAAGTGAGTAGTCTTCGATATATGAATTGCGAGGTAGATATAAGCTTCTGCATATATGATATACTGAGACTTATGCTCCAACAGAAATAAATAACCGTTCTAAATCAACATTTGAAAGGTACAAGTCGTACTGGAATTTTTTTAAGGACTTCAGTTAAGGCAGCTTCCACTTGTGATGCCAGTGGCATTTCTTGTCACTGGTATCACTAGAGCAATCTTTCCTAAAAATCCTGGAATTCTTTTCTTAATTAGGTATATCAGCCTCAATATTCGCCACAGCAACATTACAAATAAATGTGAAAAGCTTTGTACTAAGATTTAATAGAATGAGAAATCTATTATCTATATTTTTCTGTGCCATCTCTCTCCTTGAATCTTTCCTGCATAATTTTCCTTTCCCTAAAAACAACTTTTTATGATCTACAACTTGTATTTGAAACATTTTTCTTTATAATGTATAATAAACTTTTTATAGCCAAAAAACTATGTTTTTCCCTTTTTAAGATTGTTAAAAAAAATTAGATGAACATCTTCACAGATTTTTCATCAGCTACCCCTCATATACATTTTAGAACCTTCAAATATTTCTATAAGATGTTTTCAGCTTTTTTCTTCATTGACTGTGGTATAGAGTAAAGCTTTTGATAGAAGAAAAAATGGAAAGCAAGGGAAGATGGAAATATTCATGTTTGAAAAGTATAAGAGATTGTCTAGGGTTGAATTCATAGTTACTGTTTTGAGCTGCACAAGATAGGCATTACTTCGCTTAATAATACAACATACATAAGGAGATTGAATCTCTGAATTTACACACATCTGATTTTTGTAACTTATTTTGATTTGATCTTTAACTTAATGTGTTTTGGTTCGCTGGTTTTGGAATGCTCGGTTTTAAAAATTTAATATTTTCTAGTACTAATAATTTACCTTCATTATTTTAAGCCAAGTACAAATTTTAAAAATACACATGAAAATACACCAGTAAAATGTTTAGATTTAGAGATGTTCAAGAAAATTTCTGTATAAAATTAAAATATTTGTAACAATTTCTTATTAGATTTTCGACCACGATTACAGCCCTATTTTGTCTAAGTTTTGAAAGCAAAATTATAGAAGATTCAATTTCTTTGGAAAGCATTTTGTTAGTACCATATTTTCATATGTGGTGGTGGAGTATTGTCTTCAGAATAAATATCCATTTACCATCTGTTAATTATTGCCTTATAAGTAATCTTGCAAATACCTTTTCGCTTCTAATAACCCCTAATTTATGTTCTATCATTTCTTCTTTCCCCATTTACAATTAGGAATTCAGTTACATGTATTTTTAATTAATATTGAGACTTTAGAACCTTTTGGACCTCTATTCCACTCTGTATTTATTACTGACTTTATTTTTTTGTACTTCTAATTTGTTGTCTTGTGAAAGACAATAAAATATAGTACATTATTAAAAAAAATTACTTAATGTAGC